ACATGACCTACAGGACCTTTTCTGGCTCCCGGAACACTTACGCCCCAAGCTCTTCCAACCCCTCCCTACTACTGCACATACATTGACTTGTTGGGATGAAAAAAGAGGGAGATCACAGAGACATAAAAGGGAACGCCCCGATCTCATGCCTAACGGCGGGCATCCCATCCTTCGACGCCAAGACATGGGGGAAGGCGGGTTGCACTGAGATACACCACTTATACGAAGACAACCACCTAATTCCCTTCCCAGAACTCCAAACAAAGCACAATATACCCAGTAGAGCACTGTTCTCCTACTTGCAACTTAACTCACTACTCACGGGAACCAAAATACAAGCCCACAACCCACAAAACGCACACAACGCAACGACCCACTGTTTGTCAGGCAGACCCCCAAAGAAAATCCTATCTAACTTATATACCGCTCTCCTAGCGGAGAGATCAGGGGCAGTCATGACATTCCAGACAGCGTGGCACGCAGAACTGGGAAAGTCACTAGGGACAGAAGACTGGTTGCGAGCCTTCTCGATACACAAAGGGAACACACTATGCACAACCCACGTAGAGACCATACGGAAGTTACAATATCGATGGTACATGGTACCGGAAAAGCTAGCAGCGCTCTACCCACACTCGCCCAACACCTGTTGGAGATGTGGAGCCCCAGGAGGCTCGATGAGCCACATATGGTGGACATGCACGCAAATCAGGCAATACTGGAGAGATGCGGAAAATATAGCAGGGAACCTGCTGGGCAGAAGTTGGCCACTCACTATTGAACAAAGCATCCTATTCATGATCCCAGAGACCTTAAGCAAAACAGAAGAAGGGCTCTTATTTCACCTGCTCATAGCAGCAGTAACACTCATAGCCAGAGCTTGGAAATCACAGATAGCACCCACGAAGGAAGCCCTACTTAACCAAATTTCCCTTAACTGGAAGTACGAACAGATGGCAGACACACACATAAGACAACGAAAACACATTGGCATGGCGGGAGAGAAATGGTGTGCATATATGGGGACACACCACACAAGACTCGACACAGGGCCCAGGGGGAACGCAAAAAACATAGGAGGGGGAGTAAGAGAGGCAGGAGACACAGCAGGGGCAACTCATGAAGCACAGTGAAGCGTGCAACAGAGGATAACACCAAGGGCCGACCAAGCCAAACAACAAGGGGCTGGACGAGTCCCACGAGAGTAACACACGACAATGGGTAATGGCACTAGGTAGACCAACAGGGCAGGGATGTGACAGCACCATGTGTAACCCCCATATGATGTAACGAAAAGTACCTGCAATAACCCCTTTTACTTTCTGTACCCTGGCGTGCAGGCGCCGAACGCTTAACCTTGTGAAACACAAATAAAACTTAAAGTTTCAAATTGAAAAAAATAAATAAAAAAACCCAATCAAAAGCTCTTACAAGATAAAAATTTGGTACTTATCTCTAAGGACCACTAAAACAGCATAGTAAGCACTTGAGCCAGCCCAAAATCAGATGGGTTACCAGTTCCTACAGGAGAGACAATGTCTGCCTCGTGCACTGAAGCTGACTGTCTACAATCTAGATTCGGAAGAACGCCAAAGGTATGTCCCACTGGAAGCTGGAGCCTCGTGTGTGGTCATCAGATGCTGCAGTATACGTCCGGCACCTTCAACGCGTTTCGCCCTTCTCAAGAAGGCTTTCTCAAGATAGGTAAGATAGAAAACTTTAATGTTTTAAAACTGATTATTTGAGTATAAACCATGATTTAGCTGGTAATATTGTAACATCGGGCACCGTAGATTAATATAATAAGGTTAAAGGAACACTATAGTATTAGGAATACAAACATTTATTCCTAGCACTATAGCGCTGGAGAAAAGTCCCTTGGAGTGGAGTTAAAAGATGTTTAAACTTACCTTTTTCCATCACTGTGTTATCTCTGATGTTGACCCCGCCTCCATGGCTGCGATCAATAATCTTGATGATCTCAGCCAATCCAATGCTTTTCCATAGGAAAGCATTGGGAGGCTATTGCGCATGTGTGGCAAAATGCTTCACTGCGCCAATAAGCTTTTCCTCATAGAGATGCATTAATATACACCAACCACTATGACCACTTAAAAGTGTTCAGGGTGATAGGAATCTGTATGTTCAGGGTTTCTGCTTGAAATCAAGTTGAGTGTGATTATTTGGGATATATATTTATATTTATATATATATACACACGCACACACACACACACATTATATATACATACATTTCATTATATATATATATATATATGTGTTCCCCCTTAGGAAAATAAAGAGAGAAAAGGAAAAAGAAACAGGTAAACGTGAAAAAAAATTATATTTATATGCCAAATCTGCATGCAGGATGAGACAATTGTCTCAAGTTATCTCAAGAGGATGCATGCACCTTTAAACCGAGGAAACCAATTACAATAGCCACAAGTGAGTTACAATCAGCATAAGGGATTTTCACAGCTCTTCTGTGACAAAGTTTATACATGTGTTGGTCCCTTGGACACTATTGCAACCGGAAGGGACACTAACCACTGACATATATCTTTACCTCATTTATAGCTGGCTTTATTAAAAAAATGAATAAATAAATCAAGCAAGCAGGAGCCCTAATAATGAGCAAGAAGTCAGACTCATTAAATGGTGACCCATAGGATCATCACAAAAAAACAACCTTTATATTGATTGGGGTTTAATGTAAGCTTTTCTTGGAAGGTAGTTTGTGTGAAATTCATTGTAAAATAGCTTGCTAGAAGGGTGAGAGATCTAGCATCCTTACTCCTTCCTCCTTTCCAGAGATTCCACAAAAAATTACATCTCCCTGTTTTTCTTTAAAAAAGTATCTTTGGTGCCTTGAACATTGTTAAAGAACTGTTATTAAATGAGCTTCCAGCTCCCAGTCAGAGAAATATAAAAAACCTTTTACTGCAATGCCAGTTCTCAGTTTAGCAAATAACTCCATTATTACACTTTAGCATGCAAAGATATAAACGGATATCTTTTTTTGTGTGTTAAACTAATCTTTTTTTTTCATGTGCGAATCCGTTTCATTGTGTGAATATGAATGTGAGATTTGACACTAGTGCCATTGGTTGCTATGCAAAGTACAACCAATCCAAAATGCATTAGAGGTGACAATTGTTTTATTGCAAATTGCTTTCAACAGCAAGGAGCACTGTGTGTGAAAACCTTCAGCTGGGAAAATATGGGAAGGGGAGGAAGGTGTCAATTTTCATATGGTTTTTATTTTGCTTTTTAAAAAAAAATCACTAGTTCCCTGAGGCTGCCAGGTTTAAAATATTTTTTTACATTGCAGTTAGCTTTCTCTAATTTTTGTCTTAAATGATCTGAATCCTGTCAACAATTCTAATTTAACATTTTATGAGTTAATAACCTTATCATGTTAGATCTCAAACCAAATTGTGTCTAGTCCTAGCTCTCTTGACATAGATTGATTGATGACTGTAGGTAAGCATTGTTATTAGAGATTTTTGTGAATATTGGTTACATAAAGTTAAATAAAATGATCAGGCCATGATCACACCATGACATAACTCCAACCTAGAAAGTGTATCTTTACCAAAAAAAAAAAAAAAACAACTGAAGCACTGGTATGAAGGTACTACTACTAATCTCTATTTGAAATATGATGGTGTTGAAAGTGTGTGCTCATTTGAAATGTAAGCACACCAACATTAGCATGTGGTGTGTGTATGTGTTTGTGGGAGTTTGGTTATTATAGTTTCCATATATTTCTATCTTTCTCTATTTATAGTTTGGTAAATATCAGGGTTTTGGCTTTTTTTAATGAAATTTTTTTTCATGATATACACACCCTTTTGCCTACCCCTGATACATGGAGTGATCCGTAATTTGCACGCCAGATATAGAATTTTCCATTTGCTATATGTTTATGTAAAAGCCAAGCTTTTTTGAAATGTAGTTGACAGCGTTTTTATTATTCATCCAAAATCATCAAATAGATATTTGATAATAGTATCCTTGATCTTAAAGTAGTAAATCTCTGTCATTACATTTCACATGTGACAGGATGGCATTTTTTATCCTAGAGAGCCAATAGATGTGTAATCTAACACAATTATAACATATGAAGTATTAAAGAGAAAGGCAGAAAAAAATTATTACATCTGAGGACAAATCCGAATGAGTGCGTTTTTAAATAGGAGTGTGAATCAATATTTGCGTGTAAGTTTTTGTCTAATCCATGGGTAGTCAACCTGGTCCCTACCGCCCACTAGTGGGCGGTTTGGGATTTCAGGTGGTCGGTGGTTCTACAGAAAACTCCCGGTGGGCCTTGATGGCCGTGGACCAAGGCTGGCAGTGGAGATCTTTTCATTTCTGGTGCCGGCCCAAGTTGCTGTAAGTCCTCTCGGGCTGGTGAGGAGATCAAGATTCGGCCCTACTAGTCTGCCCAATTTTCTAAATACTTTCATTAGTCCCTGGCCTTATCTTATAGTTAGGATAGCCTTATGCCTATCCCACGCATGCTTAAACTCCTTTACTGTGTTAACTTCTACCACTTCAGCTGGAAGGCTATCCCATGCATCCACTACCCTCTCAGTAAAGTAAAACTTTTTAATATTATTTTTAAACCTTTGTCCCTCTAACTTAATACTATGTCCTCTTGTTGTGGTAGTTTTTCTTCTTTTGAATATATTCTCCTCCTTTACTGTGTTGATTCCCTTTATGTATTTAAATGTTTCTATTATATCCCCCCATCTCGTCTTTCCTCCAAGCTATACATGTTAAGATCCTTTAACCTTTCCTGGTAAGTTTTATCCTGCAATCCATTTAGTAGCCCTTCTCTGAACTCTCTCTAAGGTATCAATATCCTTCTTAAGATACGGTCTCCAGTACTGCATACAATACTCCAAGTGAGGTCTCACCAGTGTTCTGTACAATGGCATGAGCACTTCCCTCTTTCTACTGCTAATACCTCTCCCTATACAACCAAGCATTCTGCTAGCATTTCCTGCTGCTCTATTACATTGTCTGCCTACCTTTAAGTCATCAGAAATAATCACCCCTAAATCCCTTTCCTCAGATGTTCAGGTTAGGACTCTATCAAATATTCTGTACTCTGCCCTTGGGTTTTTACGTCCAAGATGCATTATCTTGCACTTATCCACATTAAATGTCAGTTGCCACAAATCTGACCATTTTTCTAGTTTACCTAAATCATTTGCCATTTGGCTTATCCCTCCTGGAACATCAACCCTGTTACATATCTTAGTATCATCAGCAAAAAGACATACCTTACCACCAAGACCTTCTGCAATATCACTAATAAAAATATTAAAGAGAATGGGTCCAAGTACCCTGAGGTACCCCACTGGTGACAAGCCCAAGTTTCGAATATACTCCATTGACTACAACACTCTGTTGCCTGTCACTCAGCCACTGCCTTACTCATTCAACAATATTGGAATCCAAACTTAAATATTGCAGTTTATTGATAAGCCTTCTATGTGCAACAGTGTCAAAAGCCTTACTGAAATCTAGGTAAGCAATGTCTTCTGCACCACTCTGATCTATAATTAAGATTAGTTTGGCATGATCTCCCTGAAGTAAACCCATGTTGTCTCTGATCTTGAAATCCATGTGTTTTTAGATGTTCAACAATCCTATCCTTTAACAGGGTTTCCATCACTTTCCCCACTACTGAAATAAGGCTTACTGGCCTATAGTTGCCCGACTCCTCCCTATTACCTTTCTTGTGAATGAGCACAACATTCGCTAACTTCCAATCTTCTGGGACTACTCCTGTTAACAATGATTGGTTAAATAAATCTTTTAATGTTTTTTTTTTCTTGCCTTCCCTGTCTTTTCTATATAACGAGTACACTGGTATTGCTATGTCCCAGTCATTTTTCTCATTGTACCATGTCTCAGTAACAGTGATTAAATCTACACTATCAGTAACTACCATTATTGCCACAAGTTCATGGATCTTATTCCCTAAACTGCGAGCATTTGTAGACATGACTCTAAGCTTATCATTTTTAACACACTTGCTACAGGCACCTTCTGTCCTTGTTTTGAGGGACAATTGGATTGTTGTTTTATCACCCTTTTGCCCCCCCCCCCTCCCCTCTCCTAGTTTAAATACATCCTAGCAAAATCTCTGAACTGCTCAGTGAGAACATTTGTTCCCTTTTGAGAAAGATGCAAACCATCTTTTTTGTACAGTTTATTTCCATTCCAAACAGAGCTACCATGAGAAATAAAGCCAAATCCTTGCTCCCGACACCATTCACCAAGCCACAAGTTAAAGTCCCTAATACGCATCCGACTGTGCAATATGCCTTTTATCCACAACTCTAAGTCTACCAGATCCTACAGTAATCCATCTGCCATTCCTAGTATGTCTCTGCGGCAGTGGCTTTGCAGCAGTTCCAGTCTGAGTTTGTTTACCAGATAATTTACAAATCTCCAACCACACACTTAGAAGCAGCACTTAGATGAAGCAACCAAGCTATATTAGCCAAGCTAACCCTTATATAACTCCTAAAACCACCACCCACTAGGAAAGTTTAACACCTGGGTAGGCCTCTGCTTAATCGCAAACAATAGCTAATTAAACAGCAATCAATAGCAAGTAGCTAACTAATCAAATCAAATGCCTTATTATTACCAACAGGAAATCAAACCTTGTGCAATCAGTAACCTTTTCCTACAGATGAATCTTACCTGTAAAAGTAAAAAAAAAAACTCTTAGCACAAATCTTAGGCGGTTGAAGCTTCTGTAAAACTCTCCAGAATATCTCCAACCACACACTTAGAAGCAGCACTTAGATGAAGCAATCAAGCTATATTGTGGTTCCAGGAGAGGGAGGGAAGGGCCTGGGAAGTTTTGTGTTCCTCCCGCAAGTAGGCTGGTTGGAGCTTTGCCGCGAGTTACCATGGCAACTCTCCAATACAGTGCCTGCTTGCTGGAGGACAGGAGAGTCAGCCTGCAGCCAGAGGAGCTGCAGGCTAAAGTGAACATGCCACCACTGGACCACCAGGGCTTGCAGCATTATGTCCTCCCTCCATGGTAAAAGAAAGAATAAGGGAGGGGGAGACTTAAAGATAGATTTTCACATCTCTCACCTACACACAGCATAGACCCTATGCACCCTTCACACACACTACACCCCTTACACAAACACACTGCCCCCGCACACACACACTGCCCCGCACACACACACTGCCCCTCACACACACTGCCCCCCACACACAGTGCCCCCCTCTCACACACACACAAAATGCACCATTCACATACACTGCACCCTTCACATACACTAGCCCCCCTTACACACATACCACTCCTCACACACACACTGCACCATTCACATGCACACTGCACCCTTCACACACACACACTGCCCCCTCACACACTGCACCTCTCTCTTACACACACACACACACACACACACACACACATTACGCCCTTCACACACACGCATATAAAAAAGTAGAATAGAAAATAGAAAAAAAGGTTAAAAAAAATAGATATATTTTTTTTTATTTTAAAAAACCTTACTTTCTAAAAAAAAAATTTAAAATTTGTAACTGTGGCACTGGTGGGCGTTAAGTAAATATTACCACCAACAAAGATACAAAAGTGGGTGGTAGGTATTAAAAGGTTGACTACCCCTGGTCTAATCAGATACTTGTGATGGGTGTGTTATGTATGTATATGCATAGGCAATTAGGTGTGTGTAAATAGCCACAGTAGGCAAAATGTTTTGGTCCTGGTCAGCTGCAAGTTATGTCAGTCAAGGAAAGGAAGTTACAAGAAGTTTTATTTATAGAAATGTAAAAATAATTGAAAACTTTAGACAAAATAGCTGAGCTGGAAAAATAGGGACATTGGAAGATTTTCTTTCTAAATTACAATTTTTTGGCATGAAATTTGCATCTATATTCTCAATATTTCTCAGGTCAATAAATGAACCTATCTGTGATTTTTTTCCTCCGTCCTGGAATATATTACTGTACGTAAAGCATTTGGAAACTCTCATATTTTCAAATTCAGAACACTGTTTTTGTTAAAGTGGAGTTAAGGCAAAGTGTTTCTTGACACTTTTTAAGCCTTATTTTAGCTTCCAAATGTTCCAGGCAATTGCACTTTCGCCTTAGCTCTAGGTGTCCACAACTTTGGAAGGTGTAACTAATCTTTTCATCAATATTAAATGTAAACTGGCCTAGGTTTCAGATGGCATCGCCTCACTTAGGGGACATTTCTGCTGGGATTTGGCTTTGTGTTTAGATTTCATTTGAAAATGTTTGGATTTAAGAGAACATACATATTAGTTTCAGGCTGCTCAGCACATTTAATAAAAAAAAATAAAAAAAATCTTTCAGGCAAGTAGTCAGACTCCATGAATATCCACGTTCTATGATAATCCCAGATCTGCACTAAACTTTTTCTCACTTTTTGGTTACATTCTGCGTTATTTCATTGTACAAATGCCAGACAGTTTCAAAAAGAATACAATGTTTTGTATCAAGAAAGTTACTTACTAAATTAAACACGTCGACTTTGTTGTCTGCTTTTAAGCTTTTAAACATTATCTTAAAACACAGGCTTCAAAGACTCTGTCTTTAAAATTTTTGCATTGAACTCAGTAGGACTGAAAACTATTGAAAAAGGCGACTGCTGTGAGACGCAAAACTACTACCAGTTTTGATCAATTGTTAATAAGTGCTTAAACGGAGCCTAGTGAAACAGCAGGGGCCCTAAGCAGCTTATATTTAATTATCAATATCTGAACCTCTGCTCCGAGCAACTACTACTGCTTTTTTAAACCAGTCTGACTTCAAGTGCCAGATTTATTGTGTGCCACTAAAAGCACTGGATAATTTAATAGCAAGTCACTCCTTTTTAATTTTACCATATGATTTAATTACCTTTTTGTGATAATGTAGGTGGATGGGGGTTGCCATAGCTAGCCTTGGATAAGTGCCTATGGTGAAATGAACCTTGTCCCTCAATTTTACATACAGTGTATTTGACCCAGGACCAAGGTAAGCTTATTTTTTACTAAATTATACCTATGCCAGCAAGACATTATAACAGGCTTGGAATGTTGAATGTAGCATAATATGGTGCAGTGTTTACATGGATGCCTATATGAATATTATAGTGTTTTGTATTTTTAAAGGCACACCATAAAAAATATTGTGCATGTGCACTTTTTAATAGCTTATCCATGTCATGTTTTAGTTATAGTTTTATCTGATATTTAATTGGTTTAAGTGATTAACAAAGAATCATTGTTAGCCAATGTTGCTTGTTTGTTACACACTTCAAAAAGTTGAGCAAATTGCTGTGTTCATCCTGATAACATGCAAACTCTTTATAATTGATAGGAATGTGTTTTCATGTACTTTAAGGTGTTAGATTTATTTGATGTACGTAACTGTAGCACTTTTTACTAAAATCTCAGCAAAAATTAGCTCCTTTCACTTTCAAAAACGGCACTCGTACAGTGTGAAGATCAACAATATAATAAATGGAAGAGTTCTTAAAGAATTTATTACTAAATAACGCATTATCTGTTTTATCATAATATATTCTTTGTTTATAGCACTTCCTTTTATTTCATTGTTGAGTGTACAGTATTAGATTTATTTCAAACAGTTTTGTTTCTGTACTGAGAACTCCTCTTCAGAAGTGTTAAGAAACCTATGTAGATAAGGTATAGTGTCCTTTTTTACCAAACCGATAACGGTATCAGTTATAAGAACTGTTGGATTGTGATGGCATCAATATCTTTAATGGCTCATCGCCAGCCATCAATGCATTGATAATTATCTCATGTTAAATTGCAATATACTTCTAGATCTCCAGAGGATCAGTAGCAATGTATTGATGGCTTATGTTTGTTACACTTGAGTAATATTGCCAAACAGAAACAGAAAGATTCTGATGCACCTCTTTTATTTCTTCACTGCCTTAAAAACAAGACTTTTTTCAAAGTCGACTAACATACGTGATGGACGTCACACATTTGGTATGGAATGCAGGCAATGTTAGCTGAGGGTCTGTAAGTACAGATGGAATAGGAATTCCACCATTTGTTGGAAATGCATGGAATGCCTAACACGGACCAGTCCTCTGGCTATATGTTAGTGGAATGCAGAACTCATCAGATCTTTTAATCTTCCTTATTTTTTCCCAAACAAAGAGATCAGATGCATTAGACAAGTTTGAAAGAACAACACCAAACATA